ACCCAAAGAAGAATTCACTGAAATCAGCAGGAACATGATGCACAGAAAATTCATTCCTGTACCAAATTTTACAACAAATGATCTCGTAGCTTTGGTATTTCCCAAAGCTGGACCAAAGTTGGTTGCCTGAGCGAACAGTGTGGCTCCTTTCCTCGGCTCCTGCTGCTAGCATGTCTAATACATGCATCAAGTAACCCTGGGATTTTTTTAACCGCCATATTTATTGTGCTGTGTCACTGATCTGTCACTGCTTTGTGTTTGATTGATTTTTTTGAAAAAGCCATCTGTTATTTCTCTATCCAGCTCAACATCTGATGCCAACAATTGATAAAGCCCATACTTGCAACCTTAAACAAAATGCACGTCAGCCAGTGTGTCTTCTGCCAAAACGCTTTCTGATTTCAGAGAGGATGCTTGGTCCTTAAAAGTATAGAAATACAAGTACTCACACACTCGTCATTAATCAAAGCCCATATATTCTGCACTGTATATGACACACACTAAATGAAACAAACAGTAATTTACTTGAGATGAAGATTCAGCCTAATGTACAACATGGTGCCTACGTGGAGGGGAGAAACTACATAACTGTATAAAATCTATGTCTTGTCTGGTGCTTAATTCTGTGTTTAAGTGGGGTTTTGTGTATATCATAGCAGACCATTTTGCTCATTTATCGTACTGACAAACCCTATGGACTCGTGCTGGGGGATCAAGTTGTATTTTGTACCCAATCAAACTGATTGTGGATATTTAATTCTGTGAAGAAGCCAGCTGTCCAATCCTTTGCTTCCTCCATTGCCATGCCTTTATCTGTTGAAAAAACGAGCTACACCACAGCATCACCAGATATGTAATATGCACTTGTTGTTTTAAAGAAAGTAGCTAATGTCTTTGAAATAAGCTTTTGTAAAGGTGTTCAGATGCAGTTAGAGAACTACTGGTTGTCTGAAACATAGCCAAAGCCACCTTCCATGTCTCTTACAAATATGTTGTTTCTTACAAGCAGGTTGTTGTGTTACCTGGTAGTACTTCCCTCAGTGTCTTGAAGGGACTGAATTCACATGTGTTTTGTTTCCTACTTCTCTTAACTGTATTTCACTGCAAAGTCTTGCCAGGTTGCAAAGCTGCTATGAGGCAGTGATCGGAGAGAAGAACCTTGTGTACATTTAAACAAAAGACAGCTGATGTATTTGTAATATGTACATGAATAAATAGCTTTTTCTATGAATTCATAATACAATGTACATTAAACCCCTTGATAATAAACCACAAATTGTGATATTTAACACCAGCTGCTTGTCTGTTTTTACTAGTTGAATTTTTTTTAGATGATTTTATATCTATGTTCAGTTCAACATGTATTATTTACACACACACACACACACACACACACACATATATTTATATATGTATAAATATATATAAATAGATTTCTGTTCATGTGGACGTGGCATTTTCAGTGGGAGAAGTGACTTCTTCGGTCTCAGCTGACTGCAGGTTTCCCCAATCTAGCCCACTAAATGAACAATGGGCTGTGAGGTCAGTTCCTCGATTATTAATATGCAAATTGTCATGACCACTGATCAAAGATCATTGATCAAAGACCAGAGGGGTTAAATCAAACTTACCTTAGAGCTCAAGTAATTCTGTAAAAATGACTGTATAGACTTCTGACACCTCTACACTAACAAAATAATCAGATAGCTAGAAAAACAAACTTCCATCAGGCTCATATTAGGCGTGGGTTATTGCATCAGAGTGATGTGGGTGTTTCCTAGCGTTGCCAACACCGTCATCCTAGTGAAAGTGTGCACTGGTTGACTGATGCATCTGTCAGTAAAAGTAGTCACACCTTGTGCTTTAGCGCTTCTCTGGTTGCTGCCCTTTTGGGTACTGCACCTGGAAGTGATGAACTCACCTGCTGGTAGTTATCTGATCCCAGTCTCCTACTTAAGAGGAAGAACAACTTGTTTGGTCCTTCAGTGGGCTGGTTTCAGTCATTATGCAAATGTACGGTTTATAAGACCGGGGAAACCTGCAGTCAGCTGAGACTGAAGAAGTCACTTGAATGAGTGACGAAACGTTTCTCCCACTGAAACGCTACGTCCAGATGAACAGAATCAACTTTTGGAGGTTTACCTACCCTTATGATTGAGCATGCATCAAGATGTTTGGTCAGTTGATACCTGGTTGATGATGTGGAAACTTTGTGGAGCTGGTTCCCATCTCTGCATGACTGCTCTGTTGCTGCTCCAAGACTTTTTTGTCCTGTGCTGGGACCTGAAAGTGGAAACTGACTTGAACAGAAAGAGATTCCTGTGCATGTGTCTGCGATGGAGCCCTGGACCTCACTACTTAGAAATTGTTTAGCATTAAACCTTGCATCTAAATCTATTTCTTTCAGTGTATTGTTAAACACCATCTTGCTCAAGTTGTTCAACTTTTGAATGAGAAACATGTCGAATGCTGTTATGGACCGTGTAAGTTGGGCATAGCATCACTGATGAAACTCAGTAATGAAACTAAAGGAACACTGCAACAGATGATTAGCGATTAGCCAACTAGTCACAGTACCATCCTTATACATCTTAGTAGGTACTGCTAAGCAAATGAAAAAGACTGATAAAATCATACAGAAAACAATTACTTTAATCATTTATTGCTGCCACTGGTGGTTCTGTATTCTGCCTATAAGGGAGTTAAAGCCAGAATGAGACACTTTATAGAAAATAAAAACGGATGAATCAGCTACAAAAGAATCTGTTCACTTTGCTTATAGATAAAGTCTGCTCCTCCCCTCTGCAAATATCAGTGAGTAGTCTTGGTACAGATAGAGACAGAGTTGTCTTGCACACCACCCTTTGTTTTCAGTAAATTCTGAATCTATTTCTGGACTGAGTGTGTGAAAAAAAGCCAGGATGGGAGGGGAATCTTTGGGTAGCAAGATAACCTGCAGCAGTTTGAGTTTTCTGCATATTGCTGGTTATCCTGATGAGTACAACAATAGGATCATGATTTCTGTAGCAGATGTAAGCTGGCAGTGTTCACAGTAAGGTAGGTGCATATTTTAAGACATGTGAGTATAATTGTTTATTACTCTAAACCACGAATATACAGCTTGCAGTTAGTTTAGGAAGTAGTCTTATTGCAGGTTATTGTTTTGCTCTGGGATAATGTGGCATATTTGAAACATGTTCTTTAATTCCTACACAGTACTTCCCACCAATCAGGGGTCATACTGTGCTCTGCAAGGTTTGAGCTTGAATGACCAAAGCACCTGACAGGTCGTGGTTGCTTTAACAGATGATTTAAAGAAACATCTGGACTCCATTTGGATTATTTCACTTATTTGTAGTTTGTGATGGAACTTAGTGACTTCACATTAGACCTCCATCTAGCACATTAAAAGCTGTCCTTTTGATTTCAAAAAGACATTTAATTGAATATTCCGTTACTTCACCTGATACAGAAACCAGCAGCTTGGAAATAGCTATTTAGCTTAGAAATATTGAAGATATGATGTAGTGTAGACTTTTACATTTCTTTTAATTGCTTTAAAACCTTTTAAAAAAAATAAACTCTTCAAGAGTTTTTATAACCTCTAGTCTTAAAAGTAATTAGACTATTGATCAATTAACTGATAAGCAGTTTCATGGCAGGCGAGTCTGTTCATTCAGTGTTAGACAACAAATTAAGCAAAAGCTCCAAGTGTTGAAATTTGGTAATTGTTTACTGGAGCACCATCTTAAATGGAAGTGGGTTGGCATTTATCTAGCACTTATTGAGTCTTTACTGACCACTCACAGTAGACTACAAGCCAAATTTAACTATCCAGTCATACAATATTTCATTCTATACACACTGCAAGCATTTCATCTACCTCTCATCCAGCAAAAGAAAAGTCCAAAGTTAGGGTTCAAGCAAGAACCTTGCTGCAAGGCGACAGTGGTAACCTTTTGCATTCCCATTACAAGAGATAACAAATCAGATAAATCAGAAAGATACCGAACGTTCTGCTGTATTCTTAAGAAGAAGGAATGCACTGGTTAGCTCACCAACTGAACTGGAGGCAGTAAAGTTTGTCAGGGTGTAACTGGTTGTCCTCCATCACTGGTGCTTTTAGAGGTATAAATGAGACAAAACCAAATGCAGTAAGCCAGAGTGCAGATATCTATATGCTGTGGCCGCACACACATCAATAAAAACACAAACTGCTTGGTTGCAGGTTGTCACATAGTGTAGAAAAAACTGAGCAACCTTACTTACATTTGAGAAAGATGTAAGGGAGACAGGCCAGGAGAGGAAGAAGAGAGGTTATATTTAAAGGTTAGGACCGCAGGAAGACCCTGAAATAATATGTATGTGCATTTGTTGTGAAGCACATCAACTCTAAATGCTTTACGCCCTATGTGGAGCATAGACTGCATATACATATTAGACAGATGTGATGACATTTAGATAAATGTAGCAGGACTGACTGTATCAGTGCATTACACAAACAGAGATACATGCTAATAAGGCAAACAAGTGTGTTAAAAATTGTCCTCCTCCTCGTCCTTGCAGCCCAAAGAAGACAAAGGGGAAAAAAAATAGAATGTAAGAAGACTTAACCATCCCCCACAGTAGTTATCGCACAGTCTTTAATTGAAATTGTGTGTCAGAGACAATAAAAGTTGGAGTTCAGTTCTTTTTGTCCAGCCAGGCAGCAGGATGTGCAGTCATTGCTTTTGTTTAGGGAGACATTTTTAGAAGCCCAGAGAGACAAAACAATGTGTACAACGTCATTAGAGTGGAATATGGGATAGGGTGACCCACTCACTGAGGCACACAGCGACAATGCAGGATCACACATGTGCGTACTGCACCCGTGCTGCAGAACGTCACTCTCAGAAACATAAAAAAGAAAGAAAATAACTCATCCAACTTGCAACTGCGGATTTCACCAGACACAGTTGGTGAAATGCACTGAACAAAGTTATCACGACTGACGGGCAAACATCAATGTGCGCAAAAGCATATTGTGATAGATTTCCTGCTCTGCTCTTTACCCCCTCTTTACCGTGTGTGGTCCCTATATTTAGCCCGACCAACCAACGCAGGCAGGAAAGCTAAGTTGGGAAAGAATTGAAGGAAGTCTAGTGGCCATTTAGACAAACAAAAACAGACTGAGATCAGTGCTGGTTGAATACACAACTGTATGCAGCTGAGACGAAGGGCTTTACAAAGATAGAGAAGCAAGCTGAAGAAAGGGCTGGACGATACTTTAACGGAGCTCTGACAGCTGGAGCGCTGCTCTGGTTTTAGCAGCAACCTTTTCAGTCCAGGTGGATTTTAATATTAATGCTCATTTGAACAGACTAAAAGGTGTATCTGTTCACGGACATGTTTAAAAGGCAGATCCATGAGATGTTCTGGTAGACCCTGGCAGAGTCTCAGATGAGGTAAGAAGTTTGTGTGTTGAAACCTGCAGCTAAACTAAAAATTGACTTGAGCTACAAAATTATCAAGAGTTGAAATGTGAACTCTATTGTGCTTTAATTACATATTATGGCATTTTCCTGGCTGGACTGATGGATACTGATAACATAGCTGGGTCTTTAGTCTTCAGCTCGTTGTATATCCACATAATATGACAGTCATTTCTGAAACTTACACGGGACTATGACTGACTAACATATGACAAAAGCAACCAGTCACTTCGAAACCTCCTCTATGTGCTCCAGCTGCTTATGTCCATAAACGCATGCATCACCTCATCAGAATAATTTTTTCATTGGCTGTCACGGCCACCACACAGATTTGACTGATGGTAATCTGACTCTGTCCCTGGAAGATTTAATGCAGTTGCATTTATTCATAGGGTTACTGGGCTGGCTGCAGCTTTTCAGTACAGTTAGTGTCAGGTTTAATGAGTAACCTCTACTGAGTGCTGCAGGGAACTCACTCCTTTCTGTGAACTGTCCCTGCCTTGTATTGTTACTTATAGTCAAACAGACTCTGCGCTTATAAACTTACATCGCATTTAAATGGCAAAACCTGGAAATGAGTAACTCATCAGTCTGTGAGCCACAGGCTTTTAAGGCTACTGTGTGATATTCTTTACTTATCCCTCTGAGGTCTAAGTCATCCTCAGCTCTATCCCTGTGCTAGCAGGATATGTAAGTTTTCTTCTTTTAAAAATTGTTTTCCAAAAACAAAAAAAAAAGAAGAGTCACAGCACAGAAACAGCACTAGTGATAGTTAATAATGATCTTATGGCCTGTCCTATTACACTGCAGTGCAGCATTCAGTACTGCTGATTACATAATTGTACAGCGTCCAAAATAAACCACTGGAATGAAAGGAGATAAGTCATACTCATCTTACTCAATCAGATTTGGGGAGTGTTTCTCACACACCAATGTTAAGCCCTTTTCACACGTTTAGAGATCATCAGTGATGTAGAGACTACAGAAAGTCGATGACACCACGACTTCAAGTAAAAACAGGGAAAATAACACAGTTGGGATACTTAGGATACTGCTGATTGACATTTGACTGGGAAGTAAAGACAACCAGAGGCTGGAATGTCAACTACCAACCAACCGATAAGGTGACACGGCACAAGGGAACCACTTTCTATATGAATGTGACCTTAGTGATGGAGCTCCACAGTAGGACTGATAATTTAAGCATTGCACATTAAACAGTATTTGCAAACACAGCTATGCAGGTTGAGCTATGAAACCAGATGACACAAATCGATTAAACTATAAAAAAAACAAAACCCAAAACACCTTTTTTAGATTGCTTTGGAAAACTGTCATCCTGCTCTTCACTTTTTTTTTTCTTTTTTTTTACATTTTTATTAAAATGTCAACATAATATGGTATATTTAGTAAAAGCAAGTGACCTCTGATGAAGAGGCCATAATTGCATATGAGCCTGCACAGCTTGAACCTGTGAGAGTGCAGAATAGATTAAATTGCTTTATAACAGATGGAGACTGGAAATGTCTGTTGAGATGCTAAAATGAATTATATGACAAAATAATTCATTTTCCAGTGCACTGCAATCCAGTGCACATATAACTTGTTAGATCAACACTGCACTGAAATCCGGTGATTGCAATCTTCCAGTGCAATCACTGTGCGTGTGTGTTTAAGGTCACATGGCCGACTGCTGCTCCTCCAGGCTGCTGTGTTTACTAAGAGGAGGAGGAGGTCATAGCGTAGTAAGTGCTACCATGGGAGTCTCTGTGCTTGACAGTCAGTAGGAGCCTGCAGTTATCTCAGTAACAGAAGCTGATCTTTAGCCTGGATGGTTGCTCATATTCAGCTCTTTGAAGGTAAGATCTGGGAGATTTTATTCCCCCTTTCCTATAAATTCTGTTGTAGCAAGAACAAAATGTAACTGCGTGTAGTTTAACTCATGAAAGAATGGGGGGGAAAAAAGTCAGTTAAATGCATGAAGTAGCTCTGGCTATGAACTAGGCTTCAGCGTTCAGCAATTCAGGGTTTCTAAGGCAATGCACCGTCTGTGTGTTCAGAGGTGGCGCTTTTTGTGAGATTACGCCTCTGAACAGTGTCCCTTGATTACACATTTGGCTGCATCATTTTGTGCTAAAGCCAGAGGCAGATACACAGTGACCTACTGTGGATGGAGAAAAAGCACAAATCAAAGGGTAGTGCCGACTGTAACAAGCTGTGAAATCGGGAGCAAGAAAAACACGACACACAAGTCATTAATGTCTGATACATTGAAAGCAGCACATTGCCCACAAGAACACTTTGAAAGTTTCAGAATGGCCTGTTTGTTTTTTGTGAATTAGATTGTTAGCAGCAGAAAGCATTAAGACTCAATGCCTGAATTGTGGAGACTTTTGCATTCACTGAATATTTTGACCCTAAATCACTGAGTCACATCCATAACGCAGCACAGTTTAGATCAAGTCAAGACCAACAATTGTGTCCCCTCCCAATGCTGAGGGAGTGAGCGTGATTAAAAGGGTAACATGTTTATTCCAATGTGTGACAAAGAAAGGCAATTGTTGTTGTGAAGTTATGAAATTATGTTTAACTGCTGACCGAGTTTGCATGAGTTTCCCTCTTGGGGCTCTGGTTTCCTCCCACTTTCCAAAGATATGCGTGGTTTGGACACTAAATTAGCCTGAAGTGTGAATGTTGAAGGCTGAATGCTTGTGTTAGACTAGAGACTTTGTTAGAGTCTGTGGGACATTGAGCAAGGTGTTGTATTTGCAGGTCCAGACTGAAATTGTTCTTAAGGGAAGCTTCCTACAAACACAGTATGTGCTACAAACGTGTACCAACACCTTCGAAATGTATAGTTACCCAGAGGACTGTCACATTTGATCTCGTCAACAGGGAATGAAAAAGAGGTGCTTCCATAGACATGTTTGTGATGAGTGTTAGAAATTTTTTTATTATTATTTTTATTATGTATTCGTAAGTTATCAGTATAAAATGCCACTTTAGCCAGTATTTACCTCACGTCTACTGGACTGTAAGTTGATATGTTGAGGTTGTTTAGTGCCGTCCAAAAATCATGACGCTTGTTTCTTTATAGGAAAATTAGAAATCGGTGCAATGAAGTATGTGCAAACAAATTCTAATATAGCTTGAAGTCTTAGGCAAGCGTTCTAGTAATGCATTCAAGCATTCTTGAGGAGCCAGTCTTTGTGAGGGTGAGCCTAAACAATGACGAGATCCAGGCTCTCCATTCCCAAACTGATATCGCTCCATGGTGTGCGTTTTGTGGCCACTCAGAGTCTTTTCAGATGGTATTGCACAGTGACTCCAAATCTGATGGTGCTGTACAAAAATCCCCAACACTGATCCAAAACAGCACAGCGCTGTTGTGTTTTATAGATGTAGACACCGACTGTTGTGTCTCTCGCCTGACCTGTAGGAAAGTACTTTGTCACCAGTTTGTGAAGAAGAGGTAAAAGGCTGGTGGTGCCTTTCTACGGATGTGAGCACTCCATTTGAACCAAAAACACAAACTTTTCATTAATCACTCCATAAATCCTGCTAACATTGATTTTCCAATCCAATCCAACTTTATTTATATAGCACTTTTAAAAACAACAAAGTTGACCAAAGTGCTTTCCAATAATAAAACAGAGATAGCAGTTAAAAACCATACTTTAAGCATACAATGAAATCAATAAACAAAATAAATATATAATTAAAAAAGATTTTCAGCACATTTGCTCCTTGGTTCAGTCCTGACGGTCACCCTTCCATTGAAACCATTTGTGATGAGGCTGGTGTGTGATGGTACTTCTCCCTCAATTTGAAATATTTGTAACATGTACAGAATCACCTCTAACCAAGTACACTTGGGCATGCAGACTCAAGGATCGAACCACGAACCTTCCATTTAGTAGGTGACCTGCTCTGCCACCTGAGACAAACCCCCTCCACAAAAGTTACTCATTTGCTTAGAAAGTCAGAAGCTTAGCAAATACATCTGACACCAAAAACCTTTAAGAACTCCAGAACCTTACCAACATGCTACATCACGGAAAAATAAGACACATTGGTGGGAAACGCCACCATATTGATCAGGAGCTGAAAGCCATTATAAAGAGCCCAAAGATGCAATTAGTGTCCTTTGGTCAACCGATTATTCCAAACAGGTGTGAATGTGAACTTGAATGGTTGTCTGCAGCTCTGTGTTAGCCCTACAACAGATTGGTGACCTTTGTGGATCTTTCAGAAACAAACAGTCTCCTGTTCATGTCACCTGGGTGAACAAGGATTTATCAAAGCTGTCAGCATAGAGAGAAATGCTTTGCAAGCACCAGCAAAACCAGGAAAGATAAATAATATACCATCCATATTATCCAGGGTTGAACATGAACACATACTTCATTCCCAAAGAGACTTAAATCATTTGGCAGGAATGTGTAATATGATGTGAAGTGTATCTCTATAAAGCAGTTCACAGACTGGTCACTGAAAACATGAGCATGTGTCACAATCAGTGGAAGCTGACTGTGTGTAGAGAGACGCAAATGCAGACTGAAAATGGAGCGTGAAATGTGACTTGAACAAAAAGTGGGCTGTTGTGGCTCATAAGAGTACACAAAGCAAAGGCAAGCAGGGCGAAAACTAAACTAGAACCTAAACTGGAAAAACTAAACTATGATTACTGTGACAAAAACATGAATTCAGAACACGTGCATGCAGGAAACTGTGAGAATGAACATGCATTACCTTAAACTTGATGCAATATGAAGGAACGAACACAACCTGACAGAGTCTGAATGAAACACACAGACTAAATACACAAAGGAGGTGATCAGAGGAAGTGGAAACACCTGGGGAAACAGCTGACACAAATGAACATAATGACATCAGAGGGGAAGAGTAAAGCTAAACACATTGAACAAAGAAACACAAGACTTTCAAAATAAAACAGGAAACTTGGAGAGACGTAGACATGACAACACAGGCTTGACAACATGAAACACGTGGACAAGAAATACATAACAACTAGCACAGAAGGCCTGAGTGAAACTAAAATTCACTGCCAATTAATAATAATCCAACATTCCACATTATCTTCAACATATAACGAAAGAGGTCAAAACAACTGAAAGTGCTGGATCACAGACCCAGCCCCTGACAAGTATGTGTGTACACCATTGCTGTATTATGTTTTGCATATTGCACATAGTCTAAGGAGCTTGGAAAGAAAAGCATCTGGCAGAATTTTCCACACCAAGACTAAAGCTCTGACATTTAATGAGTGATGTCACACTTGATTTGGTTTGTTGAGGCTACTTGGAAAATCAGTATCGTAGGCAGCCAACTACGTCATTTAGACAGCTGAATAAGGATCAGCAGTGCATCATGGGAGATGGGGCCTCTGGTGGTTCTGACCTTGTTAATGGCTAAGCATGTCATCACCTTGGTGAAGCAAAAAAAGACATCCCTTGCAAACATCTAATTTATACAGAGACTTGCGTCAACATCAGCATTCTGTGTGTCTGTGTTTGCCTGTGTCTGAGTGTACACAGTTGGATAACTTGCCAATAACTAATATAACTGATAGAAGTAAAACTACCAATACCCTTAACTATTTATACATTTTCTGAATCAGAAAGGAAGCTACTGATTCAGAAAAATTTAAATTAGAACTTTTTAATTGTTTTACTTATATGAAGACATTTTACCGTGATAAATAAAAAGACCTTTAGTAAGTATTTGGCCACATAAATAGTGTAGTCTGCTGTAGTCTGCTATTATGCAATGAAAAGGAATTCATTCAAATGTGCCATTTGAGATACGTATATGAGAGTCCTGATGCTATTGATGAACACACACATACTCTATTTTGGTGTGAATTCTTAAATTTCAATGCATGTAAAACTACACTGACACTATTAAGTTATACCCTCAGAGAATGATCACTTTTGGCTTTTTTCAGCTAATTGTGCTAACTGTAGATGCACTGGCTTGTGTAATTCTCAATCCTGACTGCAGCATGTCATATTTTAAATTTCTTCTTATCCAGCAGCAAACACCAGACAAACACGAACACACTGGAGCTTTTAGTAGCTAAAGAGCCAGCAGTCATTTTCACAAACCTTCTAAGAATCGAGCTCATGACATAAACCAAGTCTGCCCTGGGGTCTGCTCTGACCATTGGCATGCTAAAATACCTCACCTATGAGTTGCTTAGGGTATGTCCAGCAGGCATTCTCAGATACTGAAGACACATCAGCTGGCTACTTTCAGTGAGAGGGATTACTCTACTTTCAGTGCCTGCCATTACCCTGCTTCTTGTGCTAAGATTAGACACCTTTGATGAAAGCTCATTTACCACTGCTCACTTCAAATTTTTGGTCACTACCTATAGTTCAGTTTTATAGGTGAATATGTGAATGTGCATCAACTAGTAAGGTATTCTCACACTCTCCAACACAACCAAAAATCTCTGAATGTGGGAATGCAGGTTTTTCCAAAGTTTGTGGAACCCATAAAGAGCTATAAATCAGAGTGTGTATATGTAACAAAAAAGCACACTAGACTGTTTGGGCCATTTATCACTCAGTCAGCATTCCACGTCTGCACAGTTGAGCTATGTACTGTTTGAAATTTGGAGGATTCGTGTAGGTTAAAAACCCCTCTTTGTAGCCTGTCTTGTGCAAATGGACACAGTAGCAGTAAACCATAAAACAAGAGTTAACCCCCTTCCCCCCTCCAGAAAACTGTTGTATCCTTTGATCAATGATTTAATCAATATTTGTTGGAAACCAAAGGCATTTTTTTTCAATGCAGTTCTTGCTTATTTCATCAGCAAGACATGCAAAACCACATTTCACTCTAACAGTGGTTTTGTGGTTCTACATCTAGAACTTTTCTAAATGCAGTCCATACCTGTAACCCAGTCAAATGATTTGCATCAGTTGATTTCCTCAGTTCCCAAATGCATAGATTGTTGTTAAAAAACAATACTCATACTAGGCTTGATATAATAGATTGTCATGAGATAATCATTCCTCTTTGAGTGATCATGTTGTATGGACTCGGGCGTGTGGGACGGCATGGTCATTGGTGAAACCCACTGTTGCTCTTTCATGGAAAAACGAATCGCCTCTGCTCTGTGGATAGTGAGCAAATAGTGAAGGCGATCTTATTGTGCAAGCAAAGTGTGGTTAGACTCCCTGCCTTCTTTGCCATGTACAGATTAGCATTAGCACTGGCAATACATCCTCTTCACTTGATCAGAAATTGCTCTTTAAAGCGTGTTCTTTCCTGTCCTACCAGATGTGCTCTCCCTCTAATGACATACTCTCTGTCCTCCTTCCAGCTTGGCGTCATGGGATCATCCACACTGGGGAAGGCAGCGTCTCTTGATGCTCTTTTAAATGAATGCATTCATGGATTTGGTGAGTGACACAGACCATCAGGGGTCCTAAAGGTCCCTTATTCACTGCATTGCAATTAGTTTGTGGTAATTTGCAGAGAATAACTTAGGCAGTCCCTAAATTTATACCATTGTGCAAAAGTGTTGGGACACCCCTAATTTTTGGTGTCTGTACAATTCTTCATAATTGCATTAATTCTGTATTCAGAAAAACAGTGTATCACCAACATTTTATTTTGAGCTAGGTAAGTGAGAAAGCAGTAAGAATTCAGACTGAATTTTGGGATTTGCTCTTCACAGATGACAGTGGTGACCTGCAGGCTAACCCCCTCCCACGCATTGTGCTGCTGATGCACCGTTGGTATGTTACATCCTCTGAACTGGCGCGAAAACTTCTGATGATATATCCTATCTTGTAGAAATCATGACTCGTTGCTCATACACATTAGTGAAATGGTCCAACAATATATTGAAGTGCTGGCTGAAGCTTGGAGGGCTCATTCACCTTACAGGAAATCTCACCTAAGCTTTTATTTGGTTAATGGTATTCCAGACAGTCTCTTAAATGATATTTGATGCTTTCTGTAAGCAGCTGCATCTCTCTCAGCTGCTCTCTTGGTGTGCCATGAACATTGATGTAAAATAAGTGGTATTGATCTTAGCTTGGAGTTGCTCAGTAGGTGGTTTGTTGTACTATTAGATGGTTGTAATGCAGCTTTTTACCTGCTGTAAATTCAAACGCCAACTTCATTCAATTTTGTATAACTACCCTGTCACCAAAGTATATACAGTCATGGTGAAAAGACAGTACATCCACTGCAATTCTAAGGGTGTACGTAAATGGCCTGTATTTATATAGCGCTTTACATGTCCAGTCATCCACCCATTCACACACACATTCACACACTGGTGATGGCAGCTACATTGTAGCCACAGCCACCCTGGGGCGCACTGACAGAGGCGAGGCTGCCGGACACTGGCGCCACCGGGCCCTCTGACCACCACCAGTAGGTAACGGGTGAAGTGTCTTGCCCAAGGACACAACGACCGAGACTGTCCAAGCCGGGGCTCGAACCGGCAACCTTCCGATTACAAGGCGAACTCCCAACTCTTGAGCCACGATCGCCTCTTACGTATCAGGACATACTGAAATAAAAAATCATCTGGAACTTGCCAGGATCTAAATTAATTTAAATACATCCCGAAAAGTGTTTTTATTTACTTAACACAAACTAAGGTAAAATACAAATGATATGAAAAATGATTAAGCAGCTTACAGAAGCATGTTTAGCTGCAATGCCTGAAGGCATTATGACTTTTCAGTCTCTTACATAGTTGTGGAGGACTTTTGGAGCACTCGTCTTTAGAAAGTTGCTTCAGTGCACTGACATTCATTTATGCACCCCTTTCTTAAGGTCTTGCCACAGCATTTTGAGGCTGAGGTCTGGACTTTGACTCGGCCATAGCCCTTTCTTTTTTTAACTATGTTGTTATAGATCAGACTTTATTTTCTTACTCCAGCAATCAGACACATGGAGAAACCCCCCAACAAGTAACCAATCACAATATAACTTCACTAAAACTTCTAACAGACCTTGTGTGTAATGGAGATGTAATGCCAGCCTATTTTAAATTTTTTTTAGAGTTTTTTCACACACACACACACACACACACACACACACACACACACACACACACACACACACACCATTGTTGTTGTCTCCTTCCTCTCTTCTCTCTCTATCTGTTTTCCTGCTGATCTCCTCCACTTCCTCCTCCTTTCAGGACCTCCTGACAGCCTCCCAGATGAGCCTGGGGAGATTTTATCAGCGAAAGCACTTTTGGGATGTGTCCGCTTACTGTAGAAAAAGATTTAACTTTTTTTCATTGTCTAAAACAGAGATTAAATAAATAAAATAATAATGCAGGAATATTTCCTGAATACTCTGTTCTGAGTTGCAGTAGGCCCTGTGCTGTGAGCATAGCCTGGCTCTTCATTTAGATTCATCCCAAACTTTAGGTCATAATTCTCTGTAATTGTTAGCTATTAACCTCCAGATTAGCTTGCATAGAGGGTCTATGTTTATTTTTTTTAGAGCGAAGAGGCTTTCTCCGAGCAACCCTTCCAAATAAGCCATACTTGTTGAGTCTTTTTGTAAATGCACTGTTGTGAACTTTCATATTTATCATGCTAAGTGAAGTCTGCACAGTCTGGAATTAGTTCTCATGCTTTTGCAGTTTCTCTGAGCAGTGCAATTTGACCTTGCTGGTATGGTCCTGGAAAAACTGATGGGTAACAGTAAATGGACTAGTTCTTATATAGCGCTTTTCTACTCTATCTGAGAACTAGAAGCACTTTATATAACTTGCCTCATTAACCACATATCAGCTCTTTCTACTGAAGTGCGTTCCATCTAATGGTCACGCACATTCACACTCTGATGGATGCATTAGAGAGCAGCTGGAGGTTAGTATCTTGCCAATGGATATTTGACATCCAGATTGGAGCAGCCAAGGAAAAAACCACCAACCTTCTGATTAGTAAATGACCTGTTCTACCTGCTGAGCTACAGAAATCGACCTCTGGAATGTTTTCTAATTGTTAAAAATCCTTCTTATTGACTTAAATATGCCATGTTACATTAAACCTTAGGAGTGAAGGAAGGTATACTCTAACATGACTTTGTAGAATCATCACCTCTTATGTATGTGCAGGAAAGGTGACCTGTAATGGAGTAATAAGTAATATATTACGCAATGCAGTACTTTTCTCCTTGTACAAAGTAGTTTGTTAAATTACAGTTATGTTACTTTGCAACATGGCCTGTTTTGTTGGTAGGCAAATATAACACCAAACTCACTGTGCTAACAAGGACATGCACAAGATCTTTCTTTCAATAGTCGATTTAAGTGCTACCCCAAAGCTAACTGACAGCAAAGTGGGTAAAAACAGCCCATAGAGCACTTCACAGAAAAAAACGTTGTGATCAAAGTGATTGGACCCTAAGAAAGAGTTTGAGCAGAAATGCACAATCCTGCAAACTTCTTCAGTTCTACTTTAAACCTCCCTAAGTATTGGCACACTCCACTTTAGCAACACTCTGTCTCTTGCAGTTAGCTTTGATGTCATGTTTACAGTAAAGCAGTGATTCTCAAACTTTTCACAAGAGTACCACCTCATAAAATATATGGCTCTTAAAGTACCACCCTTATGACCGAAATTAGTATTACTAATGTCCTGAGTCGGCAACACAGTGTTTTCTGTTTGGTATTAATAATCTTTGATTTCTGGATGTGTCTTTGTTAGTTTTGGTTCTGTGTTCCCACTGTTCTGTGTTAGTACTGTGCCTCTGAGTTTCGTCTGTGGATTTCCTGTTTTACATTTAGATGGTCTTGTCTCATGTTAGTGTATTCTGCTTTACTTCCTTGTCTTGTCTTGCCCAATTAGTTGCAGCTGTGTTGCCATCTGTTCCCTCATGTTCATGCCTGTGTATATATGTATATATAGTGTGTGTTTGCCTTTGCTCGTCGTTACTCCGTCTGTGTTATCTCTGCATCTCTCTGCCCTACAGTCTCTGTGTCATCACTCTGCGTCCTAATGGTTTCAGGTTAGTTGGTTAGTTGTCCCCAGTTTAGGTTTTGGTAGCTCCTCCGTTCCTGTTTTTGCCATTTTGCCAATCCTGTAAATAAAGCTCACTCGCATCACAGCCTATGCTGTGATGCGAGTGGTAAGTGAGAAATCTTGGGTCCTTACTCTCACACACCACACGACTGCGCTGAGCTACTGGGTGTTTGCCTTTTGCATTCCTAATCCAAGTCAATAAGGCGTCAAGCAGAAGGCTGATGGTAACTGGATGAGATGCCCTGCATGATCCATTAGAGGCAAAGCTTGAGGGCAGCATAGTGACAAGATGGTTAGCACCAATGACTACAGAAAACAGTCATTGGTTAGCACTCTTGCCTTGAAGCAGCTAAGTTTTGGGTTTGCAAAATCACATGGTTAGCTTAACTGGTGATTCTAAATTCCTTAGGTGTGAATTATTGCCTGCCTCTCTGCGTTATAGAGGCAACCTGTCCAGATTGTAACAAACAACCTCTATCTCACAAATACATGCCATTCCAAAAGTAGATGGCGATTCTGTGTTTTTGTACTCAAGCAAATTCCTTATTTTGTTGATTTGCTGGTTTTGTTAAATCTTGAAAAATGTCCTTAACTTAAGCCCACGTACCGTAACTGCAGCGGTGACAACTGCCAAAGAACCAGGCTGAAGATTTGTTATTTAATGAGGTAAGTTGGTACTCATACATTCTCCTACATGTCAGACAGTCAAACTTCCTGCATCATACCACCCATCGTAAAGGGGCTTACATGTCATAAATGTCCCGGTCTGTCACACACTAATAAAGGATATACTATAATCTGCATTCGTCCCATGTTTATCTATTTGATGTATAATTTCAAATATGTGTACTTAGGTACTGGATAGTAACATTTCCTGCAGAGTTCAACCTGGACTTGGGTCTGATTAGAATAACAGAGGAGTTCAGAGACGTGGCAGCTCAGCTTGGCTGTGAGGAGCATTTCAAATTCATCGACATCTCAACCATGTAAGACAACAAAGGCACACAGATGCAGCTGAAGAAACTCTTGATATAATCAATCAATTTTAACAAAATGTAACATCTGGGCTGGGTAAAATTTAAAAATAAAATAACTAAAATAATAATAAAATAAAAACTTTTTTATTTAAAGGGGACAATTTTTTGGTTATTTCCAGCTCTTTATTTTTACCATCAAAAGGCTACACTGGTGTTGTGACTTACAGTTCTAAATAATAAAAGAATCCAAATTAAGTCACACAACCATGAGATTTAAAGAGTGCACATCTAAAGCTTAAACATGTCAAAGAACTGTTCCGTTGATTCTTATGCTTTTATTCGAGTGGCTAATTGCTTCTCATTTGTTCTTCTTGCAGTCCATCATACGACTGGATGAGAAGGATTACCCAGCGGAAAAAGCAAACCAAAAAAGGGAAGGCCTCCCTGTTGTTTGACCACCTGGAACCCATAGAGCTGGCTGAGCATCTCACCTTCCTGGAATTCAAATCCATCCGAAGGATATCGGTACATTCAACTGTTGAGTGATGGCTGCTTTGTGGCTCAGGGATGGTTCTGGATTCATTGTCGGCAGAGGATGAATCCTAACACCATTTTAGTGCTCTATATACAATACCTTCTTACAAACTTCTCCTTCATAACTATTCTACAGCTACTGCACTAGTGTGGTCAGGGAAAATAAATAGTTTAATTATGACACCACATAGGGACATGTCACCCTGAGGAAATCTAAAACTTAAATAGTAAAAAGAAGGCTCACAGGTTTATTAAATACAGATGGCCATATTAGGCTTCTCCTTAATATAGTTTTATTAAAAAAATGATCAACATGAAAACAATACATGTGAAATAGTCAAAACCTTGAACAAGAAGGTATTGTGGAACACCATCTATTTATCAATGGCAATACAAAGTAAAAATGGACTAGGATGGGACATTTCAGAACCGTAGAAGGAGGGTTATAAAGGGGAACACACACACACACCCCTATGGTGCTATGTAATAAGTGCGATTGTGAAGGAGAGATATCCCCAGGGTTGCATTACTACTGACTGTCCACTCCCAGTCCTATCCAGCAGCAGGGAGAAGTAGGGCTGGGTATCATCACTGACTCCTATTCAATTCGATTCCGATTCAATTTTGACTCAGACAGAGAAGCACAATATAGTAATTCAGCTGGATTCATGCGGTCTAAGATTTCAGGTGCCCAACAGGAACAGTTACACATTCCAGATAAAAACTACTCCAAGTCTATTCAGGAAATGCTGCCAGAGACATTATCAAATGGTAATCAAAAATCTATAAAAAAAAAAAAAACTATACCAGTGAAATGTGACACTGTTGTAAAAACGACAAGAGGTGAATGCTGCAGCAAATCATAAATATTGTAATTAAGTGCACAAAGCAGTGGAAGAAAAATAAAGATTTTAATTCAGCTAACAGATCATCTGCAGAGGAATGGCTTATTGAGGAGTTTCAGTCAGGTTTCAGAGCTCAGCACAGCACAGAAACAGCTTTAGTGAAGGTTACAAATGATCTTCTTATGGCCTCTGACAGTGGACTCATCTCTGTGCTTGTCCTGCTAGACCTCAGTGCAGCGTTCGATACTGTCGACCATTGTTACGCCCCAGTCTAGGGGTACAGGAAAGCAACATGAGTTTGAAAAGACTGCCCCGCCCTGGTCCCCAAAACCATACACAGAGGGAAACCAATTTCTTAGTGAATCATGATTTATTTTTCTACACTGCAAAAATGAAGGGTGAACAAAGGCCAAAATAACAAACAAAACAAACTAAGTCAGGAGGAGGTGCTATCTAAAACCCTATGTGAAATCAAACATCAAACAAAAGACAAGCGCTACACCTAACTCCCTAACTGAAATAAACAGGAGAAAACAGTGCAAGGAAAAACAATAAGGCAGCTCACCCCTTCTGTTGCAGTGCTATTTACAATGAAAAGCTAATATACACACTATATACAAAACTCAGAAAAGCCGCAAAAATCACAAGCACAAAAGTCTCAGGTTTTGGAGGCCAGGGTCAGGTCTGCTGCTGCTGTCAGTGGCTGCCCCGGACAACTGCTGGTGAGGGATTTGAAGAAGATCACATGGCCAGGGGACCAATCAGCAGCCGTCAGCTCATCCACTCCGGGACCTGCAAAGACTTAAAGGCACAGACAACAACAGCCACCAAAACAGATTATGGACAGGGCCATAACAACCATAATATCCTATTAGAGCGATTAGATCATGCTGTAGGTATTACAGGTACTGCGCTGCAGTGGTTTGTATCATATCTATCTAATAGACTCCAGTTTGCATGTAAATGGAGAGTCCTCTTCACACACTGAGGTTAATTATGGAGTTCCACAGGGTTCAGTGCTAGGACCAATTCTGTTTACATTATACATGCTTCCCTTAGGCAGCATCATTAGAAGACATAGCATACATTTTCACTGCTATGCAGATGACACCCAGCTCTATCTGTCCATGAAGCCAGATAACACACACCAATGAGTTAAACTGCAGGAATGTCTTAAAGACATAAAGACCTGGATGGCCGCTAACTTTCTGCTTCTTAATTCAGATAAAACTGAGGTTATTGTACTCGGCCCTGAAAAGCTTAGAAATATGGTATCTAACCAGATTCTTACTCTGGATGGCATTACCTTGGCCTCCAGTAACACTGTGAGGAACCTTGGAGTCATTTTTGACCAGGACATGTCCTTCAATGCACATATTAAACAAATATGTAAGACTGCGTTCTTCCATTTGTGCAACATCTCTAAAATTAGAAATATCCTGTCTCAGAGTGACGCTGAAAAACTAGTTCATGCATTTATTACTTCCAGGCTGGACGACTGTAATTCATTATTATCAGGATGTCCAAAAAACTCCCTGAAAAGCCTTCAGCTGATCCAAAATGCTGCAGCAAGAGTCCTGACAGGGACTAGAAAGAGAGAGCAGATTTCTCCTGTTTTGGCTTCCTGTTAAATCCAGAATTCAAAATCCTGCTCCTCACATACAAGGTCTTAAATAATCAGGCCCCATCTTATCTTAATGACCTTGTAGTACCATATCACCCTATTAGATCGCTTCGCTCTCGCTCTGCAGGCCTACTTGTTGTTCCTAGAGTATTTAAAAGTAGAATGGGAGGCAGAGCCTTCAGTTTTCAGGCCCCTCTTCTGTGGAACCAGCTTCCAGTTTGGATTCAGGAGACAGACACTATCTCTACTTTTAAGATTAGGCTTCAAACTTTCCTTTTTGCTAAAGCATATAGTTAGGGCTGGACCAGGTGACCCTGAATCCTCCCTTAGTTATGCTGCAATAGATGTAGGCTGCCGGGGGATTCCCATGATGCATTGAGTTTTTCCTTTCCAGTCACCTTTCTCACTCACTATGTGTTAATAGACCTCTCTGCATTGAATCATATCTGTTATTAACCTCTGTCTCTCTTCCACAGCATGTCTTTATCCTGTCTTCCTTCTCTCACCCCAACCAATCACAGCAGATGGCCCCGCCCCTCCCTGAGCCTGGTTCTGCCGGAGGTTTCTTCCTGTTAAAAGGGAGTTTTTCCTTCCCACTGTCGCCAAAGTGCTTGCTCATAGGGGGTCATATGATTGTTGGGTTTTTCTCTGTATCTATTATTGTACGATCTACTGTACAATATAAAGCGCCTTGAGGCGACTGCTGTTGTGATCCGGCACTATATAAATAAAATTGAATTCAATTGAATTCAATTAATTCAAGTTAATTGCTTTATCACTGAACACAATTGCTGCTGCTATTTGTAAATCACTGAATTAATACATGCACATTCCTGCAAAAATCTCTCCAGAGCAGGTTGGATCCACAGAGGTGGCTGTGCTCCAGAGGCAGAGTAGGCCATTCGAAGGGAGGTGCTTCAATCCCTTTGTACGATAGGCTCTTGTTTCCATCCCAAAAATAAGTCTTGACAAAAAACTAAATGTGTGTGTTAATGAGAAATGCTGTATAAAATATTTTGAGAGCTCAAGTTAAGCAGAAAGGTGCCCTATAAAAACTAGCCTTTATGCATCCGTTTATACGTTAGCAGTAGTAACGTTTGGTAGTAAGAACCGAAAACCCTAAAAGTTACCTGGACAGCCCAAAAGCTTGTTTCATACTCTGGTCAGGAGCAGGTAAGGAGTTTCAGTTTTAAATCACCTTTAAATACCACATTTTCACTGTGTCTTTCATTTAATATAGATTCTCTGCTTGAGGAATAACTGGGGAATAACTTTTACATGTGCAGCCGTATGCAGTTAATTTGGTAAATGTATAAAATATTTCAGTTTCATTCTCCTGCTAATTCACTTTTACACTGCTAGAAATATAGCTACAAGAACACACATACCAGAGTGTCACATTTTACTGATAATTACCATTTCATAATGGCTCCAGAGTATGTGGCCCTCATATAGATCATTTGAGATGGAAGAAGAGTCATATGATCCGTAAAACCCCCCCTTTTAGATCGGTAATGACCAACCCTTTCATGTGACCTCGCAGGGAAAACGCAGCTTAGCAAGTTGATAACTAGATTCATGTGAGTCTGTGAAGGTTCTCAGTCATCCAGGTCATCGTAGT